TTAATTTCCAAATTAAAATACTATAAGTCATAGTAAAGTAGACAGCGCTGAGAGAGTGCATCCTCCCTCAAGGGGCGACTCTGTTTCCCCATAATGCCATAAAAGCAATATTCCTATGACAGTTTGACCCTCATAATGTGATTGCCTGACCATGAAGACCTACTATTGGCTATTGGAATGATGCTGACTGATATCATTACTGGTTATTCAAGAAAAATGATAGACATGACAGTTTCTGGTTTAGGGGTAAATGCTTGTGCTTGTATTCATTTGACTGGATGGTGTGTGTTTATGGTGCTGCATCAGATGTGGCAGGGGGCTACTCAGCCTCTGTGCTGGATGCTGTGAGGAGAGCTCAGGACATGTCCAAAATCTTAACCCTCCAGAACCCAGAATACGATGTACTTACCTTTGAGGAGGCGTTTCGACTGGCCACACTGGGAGGTAGCCAAGGTAAGACACAAAGTCAGTTGTCATTCAGAAGCAGTGTTAGCATTGTCTACAAGTCTAGTCATATTATCTACAAACAGTGATTCTCTTGCTGAAGTGTTTTTTGCCCACTCTGTGTCACTTTGTATTAGAGCACTGCCACAGACATTCTTCTCCAGTACACCAGTAGCTGTACTAAACAGATATTTTAACGATGACTGAGTGCAGAGAATACAACAGTTTCTTTGTGTTTTGTCTGCAGCCCTGTCCTTGGATGACCAAACAGGGAACTTTGAAGTGGGTAAAGACTTTGATGCACTGAGGGTTAATGTAGCTGCTCCTGGGGGACCCATTGACCTGATCCAGTATGATGGCCCAAAGGTTGGTAGCGGGGAGCTGTCGTTATCTACTGGTTGGCTGAAGCACAAATAATAAGTGCCAAAAATCAATTTCAGTATAACAAAAATGTATCATTCATTTTAATTTCAGATTCAGTTGGAAAAATTCTTGAATTTGGGTGAGTGTCCATTTCAGTTTACTGGTCCTGACTTTCAGACTTTTCAGAGTGCAACTCGCCACTATGTGTCTCTGTTTTTCCTGTGTTGCAGGTGATGATCGTAACATATTGGAGGTGTTTGTGGCTGGAAGGAAGGTGGTACCATTCACAGAGCCAACGGCAGAGTGAACCTTTTGGTCTTCCCCTTGTTTCACAGCCTAAAATACATTTATATCTAAAAGATACATTATATGTATCACAAGAATGCTTAGCTGGAAATGCAAAATGGCTGCATGAACTTGATTACTGCACAAATGTAGACAAATAAGTTGGCAATCATTACAATAACTATTTTACATTTAAATTCAGAGGATAGAATTGGTGATGCATTATTTATGAGTTCAGTAAAGGACATTAAAAACTAGTCAGCTGAGCTGGAGCTCAGTCTGTTTGTTTTAATTTTTTAAGGTAATTACTGGATTTTAAACAGGGAAAGGGGACTTAGTAATTGCTGACAACATTGCACTTCCTCTGTTGCAGATATTTAGCTGGTTGCTCACTGTTTTTGTGTAAACAGATTCATGCTCTTGCTTTTTTTCTTTTTTTAATCTACATGAACTTTGTATTTAACTTACAAAGATACACATACTAGTGATTGGTAGTCTCTGTAGCGTGACATCTACAACATACTGCATTTGTACATTGATATTACAAATATAAATAGTGATATAACAAACATAAAAAAAGGTCATCGAGCCACTGTACATAATCAGGTCAGACACTCCAGCTACACTGAGCAGCATTACATCACCAGGACCAAGTCTAAAGTTAATTAAGACACTAACTTTGGTTGTCATGATAAACAAAAAATAAAATACAAATAATTAGACTTTTTAAACTAAAATATGTATAATTTTTCTATTACAAGATATCATTCTGTAGTTAACACAACTTGTTATGTTACTCTTTTAAGTGTTATGTCATGGGAGGCTGAAATAAATTAAAAAAAGCCACCAAGGCTATTTTTGTTGTTGTTTTGTGCTGCTTGTCTCTCACTTGCAGTTATTTACCCAGCTGCTGACCCACTGTTACCCACTGACAGCAAGGCCTCTGCTCAACTTCAAACTGACCAGTACATCCGATGCAAAAAGCAGAAGGGGTCATGTCACAGCCACAAGAGGGGGACACTAATGGCCTACTTCAAATACAAGAGCAATGTTACAATCCCAGTAGAGGCAGGCTAAGTGAGAAAATGTGTAGCCTATTTGTCATTTAATTTAAGGACCTTTGATGTGTTAGGGAATCTCTCAAAAAATTTTTTTTCAATTTTAAATGTCAAACACGCCCTAACTGAAACATTTTTGAAACTGCATATCGGCATTGAACATGGCTACAATCCATGAAAGGCTAATGCTCTAAACGTGGTCTTTCAGGAGGACACTGGCTCTCAGGTTGCGAACCCGTGATTTCACCACTGAAATTGTCAGTAATAACAGAGTGGTTATCTGCGGTTGGTTTCGGATTCGGAACGCGATTTAAAGCTGTCCCTTGATTTCTTCCCATACGCGTAGCCTATGAGGAAACCCTGAGAAGTTGTTCCTGGGAGATCAAACTCAGGGCATCAATACACATACGCTGTACAACCTAGGAAGTGCCATTGAGAATTGCGTACAGTAGACCACGGCTTGAAGACAGGCCTGTGTTATGTAGTTTGAGAACTAACAAACGCCCAACATTATTATCGTTAAATCTGGCAGGTAGGTGACAATGCAACTGGAATTCTTCCGTAAACCATTATATAGGCTACTTTCCGTGAACAGTATGCTGATGAAGGTAATAACACGAGTATCACTGCCTAGTTTAACTTCTTGTCATTAACAACATAACAGAAAGGTAATGGGTAAAAAATAAGACTGACTGTATATTTGATCGTTGATCCAGTGTTATTTGAACATAAGGAACATAGATGTTACCTCCTTTATATTTCCTTCTTCCTGTGAAAATGTGTACAGGACGTCTTGATGTATAACACCATGTTAGGCTACATAAAGTGTATAATAATCTACACCGGTGTTACCCAACCTCTTTGGTTCTGGCCCTTTATTTTTGACTCCTTGTTATTGTTTGCATTTAGGTGTTAGTTCTGAGTGGTTCAACACAAAACTCTCCAGCAGCAAGGAGAAGCCTCCACCCCAGCACTGGGCAATGCCTCTGTTTCGGGCTTCAGGTAAATATAGCAGAGCAAAGGCTCAGCCCGAGAGGAAGGGCAGGAGGAATAAGAAGTGGATGTGGAACTGCAAGAAGACAGATGTAGATGGCTGTGTTCTTTCGTTGCGACGGCTGTGTCTGCTGAGTCTTGCTGACAACATGAAGAACGTGTGGGTGAAAGACTACGCTGACAACTACTTGGATCACTATTCATTCAGGCACATAATGGGCCCTTTCAACTTACTGCGTGAGTTTGTGACAGACAACTTTGGCACTTTAGGTCAGCAGTATGATCACAAATTGTTGAAGTGACCGCACCACCATAGGCCAGTTTTGTCCCTTAACCATGTGAACTAAAACTGCCAAATACTGATTTACTGTGTCAGCAAAATACCTGGAATATGAATGAAAATGAACTAAGGGGAACTGAGCAATTTCTACTCTTATGCAAAGTGAATCAGAGGTTGAATAATTGGCTCCAGATGTTTTTCTTGAACTACATGCTCACATTCTTCCACATGTATCTGCATACTAAATGATTTACAGAGTGGTTGATCACTTCTAATCCTGCAACCATATCTCTCCATCCTTTACCCTTCTTGTAGCAAGTGAGCTGGTTGAGGATCTGATGTCGCTGCTCTGCACCAGAAAGCAGTTGTCCCGGGCAGCCCTGCACCTCCTGCTGGTCCCTCAGCTCCGGAATCTGTCTCTGCAAAAGTGTCCTGGTCTGGTCACCTCCGCCCTCTGTTCCCACATTGCTGCACGGTGCCAGGTCAGAAGGAAACTGCCTTCTCCGTGCCTCTCCTCTAGTGTAGTCAAGTGCAAGTTTTTAATATGTCTTTTAGCAACTGTGAGTGCAGTTAATAGTTCAGAGTTATGTGCACACAGTAGATGTTGGAACAGTGTATTTGATTCACGGAGATGAGAATGTGTGGTGGTTCCCACGGTCTAGGAGATGACTTCAGCTGCAGGAAAATGCTCCAGACATATTAGGAATAGTTTTCTGATGTTGAGTGGGGCCCTGTTTGCTTAATCCACACCTTAGGGGCATCTGAGCTTTAAAATGGGACTCATTTAACCCCTTTTATCCAGACATATCACCTCTGGCATAGATGGGGAGTTATAAAGATAATGGTTTGGATTACAGCATTAATATATTTCATATTAAATTTTAGAATTTAGGATGCATTCTGTGTATGTAGGCTATTTTTCATGGTGTAAATACTTGATTTTTTTGTTTGTTTTTCTGAAATGTAGTTAGTTTGTATAGTAGGCTATATGGAAAAATCACAGCTCCCAAATTACTGCTTTGTAAATACACAAGTACCAGACACTATTTACAGGTTTTAAAGAAAATAGAAGGTTTTTTTTTTATATCTTATGTCTGGCACGTCTTAATATTTCCTCCTTTTTGTCTTAGGGTCTGTGGTCTCTGGACCTATCTGGAGCCCAGCAACTGCCTTCAAAGGTCCTGTCTGAAACTCTCCACTGTATTCCCAACGTGCGGTCACTCTCCCTGGCTGGTATGCCATGTGATAGATATGTAATCAGGACAATTGCCCACCGCTGCCGTTTGCTTCGCCATCTAGATGTATCCTGCTGTCATTTCCTTTCCCCTGCTGCACTACTTCCTCTTGGAGGTGGGGCTTTGTGTTCATCCTCTGGAGCTCCTTCTAGCTCATCTTTTCACTGCACCTCTACATCTCAGTCTTCTGTTTCTGCTTCTTCTTCCTGCTCTGATGCCTCCTCCTCCTTTTCTGCACCCCTGTCTCCTCTCCCCCTCAGCAGTTTGCTGGCTCTGGATATTGGGTTTGGGGAACAAGAAGGAGACCCTGTTGCAGCAGCAGCCTACCTCCTTCTCTCCCTGCCCTGCCTGGAGAGAGTGGCCATGGAGGGTCTTTTGCAGGCGTGCTGTCTTATTCACCACAGAGAGTTTAGCCAGACTAATGAGTTTGCTGACAGAGAAGGAGTTCCCAGGCTGGAGGATATGTGGAGGGTGAGAAAGCAAAGGCAAGGCTTGGATAGTTGTAGGCAGAAGAGTGAAGCAGCAGCAGCAGGTAGGGAAGATGAGGATGAAGACGAGGAGGAGGGGTTATCATGGGAGGGGTATGGCAGTGAGAATGAGGAAGATACAAGTAGAGATGAAGGGCCAAGTTGCTCTCAGAACCAAGCAGAGGAAAGAAGGAGAAGAGTTTTGCCACAGTCAGGTGATGAATGCCTGATCCTGCGCCTAAAAGAAGTCAAAGGCTTAACTTTTGACTCTCTGTACAGTTTAGGCAAATTATGTCCGGATATATATTCCATCTCTATTAAAGCTGATCATCATGAAGACACTAGAGGAAGATGCCAGGGGTCTCTGTTAGCTGCAGGACTCCAAACCTGGTCAGGAAGGTTGCGGAGTCTCTCAGTACAGTTCCCAGGCCCTGTGGTGGGTCTCCTTTCTGGTTTGCAAGTTGCAGGCTCCTCCCTGGTCTCTCTCACCCTGGAGGGGGTGAAAACCAGCTCTCACACCCCTCTACTGAAGGTCATCGAAGCCTGTCCCAAACTCAGAAACCTCTTCATCTTTGCTGAGCCTCCCACTACACCACAGGAAGAAGAAGATGAGGAGGATCAGCAGGATCACCGGGATCTTCCACGGCTGCCTAATCTCTGCTCTCTCACACTAAAGTAAGGCTGTTGTTGAAGTACATTATGTAGTACACTAGGAACTATTGACCATGGTTTGGGTTTCCACATCAAAAGTTAGCCTTCTGATGTCACACTTAGTCATTCATGTCTGACACAGCTGCATTCCTGTTAGGTACCGTTTGCACCAGTCAGTGAGTGAACGAGAAAGAGGCAGACCCAGGTAGCCGACTTCAGTACAAGAAGTGATTTATTATATACAGTGATGAAGGGAATAACAATACACAGAGGGAAATAGTGCGTAGTCCTGTCGACGAGTGGTAGCCGGGTGTTTGACCAACCGCAGGAGGCGAGGAGATGGAGAGCTGGGCCAAGCTGCGTAGGCTGGGTCACTCCTGGGCTGGTCGGCGGTGATGGTGGTTACTGAAGGTAGAGACAGAGAGATGAAGGCAATAGTGGAACAGATAGGCGACTGTGCATTGACCTGCCTGGGAGGAGAGAGTGGAGCCACGGTCCGGAGGAACAGTCCAACGGGGAAACACAAAAACAGTAGCTGGCTAGGGGATAAATACATACAAAACAGCAACAAAAAAAAAGCACGGATAAAAATTGGCCTAGAGACTAGAATTAACTGGCAAGTGACTGAGGAGTGAAACCGGGTAATATAGTGAGTAACCTAATCAAGTGCAGCTGGTGATAAGGGAGTGAGGAACAGGTGAACGGGATAAAGTAACTGGGCAAGAGACAGTACGAAAGGTGAGGGAGGCCAGAGCAGCCGAGCAAACCTGACAATTTCTTGCAAAGTAACTGATGAAGTTTCTCATAGACCAAGTACAAATCAAAACTGTCAAGTGAAGCATCTACTGTATGAGCTTTAATTTTATCTCTCGGGCTGGTTTGCCATTTATGTCTTAAAGAATCAAGTCACAAAATTTCAGTCAAATAATTTGTAGTAGGCTTCAAATTGTTTGTTGCCTCAAGCCACACCTCTGGACTCACTCGAGGAAAGAGGTGTGTTTGAATTACTGACATGATCATTTGATAAATACAGCAGGTTAGCGCTATCTTAATTATGTGATAAAGTAATCTCCATCTTCTTTTTGTCTCCCATGTGTCTATCTGAAGATTCTCCTATGACCACATTCAAACAAAGCCTGTAATGTCCTGGATGTCCTTGAAGAGGGTGCTCAAGTGTCTCCTGACAGGTTCTCCTTTGCTGGAGAAGCTCTCGCTGGTGTCCCTGCCGTGCCCTCTGAACTGCATTTTAGAAGATGTACTACGTGCAGGCAACTTGGACTGTCTCTTTGGAGATTCCACAGGCTTAGCCCCCATGCCACTCGGACAGGTAGAGCATGTTGACCTGTTGCGAACAGATGTGCAGATGGTAACAGTGAAAAGTATAATGCGACAGAGCAAGAGACTCAAGTTTGTAAATGTGAGTCACTGTTGGCAAATTAGTCAGTTTGAGTGGTTGGATTGCGTGCTGTCCAGTAAAGTCCAAGTCATCTGGGTGTAGTGAGGAGATGGTCAGTTACCAATAAAGGAGCTACACTATTGAGGGTGGATAAATAATGCTTATTATTACTGTATTTATATTGCGTCAGCTTTATTAGTATATCTGCTTCTATGATTACAACACTATAAGTAAAAAAATCTAGCACAAGCACAAAGTCTGTGGGCGACTGTGGTTCAGTGGGTAGAGCAGTCGTTTACCAACCGAAGGGTTGGTGGTTCAAATCACGGTGCCTGCATTCCACATGTTGAAGTGTCCTTGGGCAAGATATTGAACCCACAAATTGCCCCTGATGGTTAGAGCCATCGGTGTGAGTCAGCACTGCAGGTGGCTGCCTCGGTTCTGTACTGGAAACAAATTCTTTGTGAGTGTAACATGCTTGGCCAATTAAAGGTAGTTTAAAAAAAAGATCTTTCAGGCTGTTTTTGCACTTTCAGATTGTAATAACTCAGAATATGTAACATTGATTGAATTAGACAATATGTAATTTATGAGGAGTGCAGACTGCAACAAAGACAAGGGGAAATGTTTATTTCTAGACTATTATTGTTCCTCTTTTCAGAAAGAACTAGTAGGAAGGAGCACCAATGAAGAGAAAGCCAGAACAGGGTTGAGGCTGGAGCATAGCCTACTAGACTGAATAAACCTGCACCTAATGGACAAGCATCTGTAGAAAGAAATTCTTGATAAAATAATATAGTGCTATGTTATGTATTTGCAAAACTGCTTAAAAGATTGTTTAATCTGCTTGACCTTTGTAATGGCTTGACCTGTGCACTTGAAATGCTGTGTGAGTAGGTGTCTAAGTGCAGAGACAAGATCACCAAATGAGGGGTCAGAACGAGGTCAACAAACCAACCAAGGAACAAGGATGAAGGACAACATCTACCCACGTTTTGCACATTCAAAACTGTATAAATTGACTGGGTCCAGGAGATAGGGGTTCCTCTTGTTCCGAAGGCAAGTTGAACGGTTTTGCTGTTTAGAATCAGGGCCTCAGATAGAGATGGAACACAGAGCTCTGTATTGCTTTTCTTGAATATTGTAATAAATATCTTAAAAGACAGATTTGTCTTTGAGCATTCTTCATAAAAGAACATGCAGGACTGGTTGAGTCCAACACATCCATGCTCGAATGTCTTTCATTTGCATGAAGAGTATTGCAGAGTATTGCCAATAAACGACAATGTTTACAAAATAAGTAATATCATTCAGAATAATAGGGAGAAGTTAATTAATACAGCTTTCATGGAATAAACCCTAAAGAGGAACCTGACTGAAAGAAAAAGTTCAACAGCCCATTCAGTTAAGCTATTTGAGGAAACAGTGACGTATCAAGCGTTTTTCTCCCCGGTCCACATTTCCAGCCAGTATTTAGAGTATATATTGACCCC